TGGCGCGGCGGAGCGAGGCCCGAGCGCTCGGCCGAGCCCGCGGGCCGGGGACGAGCGCCCAGGCTCATGCTGATCCCTGTCCTCCTCCTCCCCCTCAGGCGGCGCTGGCGGCGGCCTCGGGACCCGCGGAAGCCGGCATGCTGGAGAAACTGGAGTTCGACGAGGAAGGTGAGTGCGCGCCCCGTCCCCGCGGGAGGGGACCCCGGGCACCCGGGTGGGGACGCGCCGGGGAGGTCGGTCTGCAGAGGCACGTCGTGCCTTTCGGAAGGGGACGCCGGCTGGGCTTCCAGGGGGAGCCGGGCTGGGCGGCCCTTTTGTCCTTCCTCGCCGAACTCGAATTAGAGCAAGGTGTCAGGCGTCCTGATGGTCCATGTCACCAGCAGACACCCAGAGGGAACCCCAGTGGTATTTGCGGTCCATGCCTTTAAATGACACAGGCCGGTTCCCCCATCGGTATGTGTGCAGATACCACCCGTAGGGCGTGTCTTCTTCTTTAATGGGGAAAGTTAAATAAGAAAACCCGAAGCGGCTTATTGAATTGGTTTGGAGTTCGGGCGACCCTCTCGCTCCATCATTGTCATCGCCCCTCTGCTCACTGGGTTTTTCTTTTTCCTGCCCTGTTTTCGGAATTACTCTATGTTCTGACAGGTAAATAACCTGCATCTTCTTTTGAGGCTGTTAAAATTCGAAGGGGATGAGTTTGTTCTTTGGCAAAATCAACATTTAAAATGGAATAGGATGAGCTTTCACCAGGACCTTATTTTGAAGCTGTTAAAATTTAAAGGGGATGAGCTTGTTTTTTGGCAAAAAAATTAATGTTAGAAATGGAATTCGATGAGCTCAAAGTCGGAAAAGAACTTTACATAAGATGGTTGACAATTTGAGGACTTTAAAAGGCCTTCACGCCATCTCGTGTGCTGCCATTATTTATTTAGTGACTTATCTTTTTTTCCAAGAGTATTGATAGAATAAAGCTCCTGAAACAAAGAATGTGCCATGTGGAAGCTGTCCCATGTGCCAACTTTACTTTAATACCTCTGTTCATTTACAGTAAGGCAATACTTAAGTAAGCACGCACAACCAATATGAGTGTTAACCCCAGAGTATTAGACCAGTGCCTGTTACCTTTTAGGTTCACTGCAGCATTTCACAAACATGTGAGCTAGAAGATCATGCATAGTAATCATCTTCATCCATATTTATTATTAATGAAGGACTCATTTCAGAATTTTACTGGACTTAATTTGCGTTTTATCCTACCTAAAAAATAATCGGATGTCTTAATTTGAATGCACTTCACTATTCCTCTGTTTTATTATATTGCAGGTCAAATGTTAACCACTGTCCACAGGGTGATATGTTGTGGCCTTTCTATTAAGACTGAATGTCTGAATCATAGGGAGGGGTTCTTTTTCTCTCTGATATTAATAACAGTGAGAGTCTATCGCATTTAAAATTTTTGCACATTAACATGGAGGCAAGAGGAGACTGGAGCACAGACTCTATTAGAGAGAAACCACAGTATGGTTAAGAATCCAGGGCCAGGTTCACATCTCACCACCACCTTAGCTGTGTGACCTTGGAGAAGTTACTTAGCCTCACTGAGCTTTAGTTTCCTAATTTATAAAACAGAGCTAATATTAGGGTATTTTGAAGATTAAATGAGACAGTTCATATCATGGTATTTAATACAGGGTAAACCTGGAGTAAACACTTTGGAAATGTTAGTAACTATTATTGCTTAAGTGCCATTAACCATTGTGCTGAATTCATGGACTTTTAAGGCTTTTATTAACCAATCTTAACACAGAGATTCTTCTTTCAACACAGCTTTGGTGGCTTTTTTTTTTTTTTTCTTAAGATTTATTTAATTATGTTGCACTTCTCAAAGCAGATATACAATCATTTTCCTTTTGTGTTGTTTCTGCCAATGTAGTGAATGTACAGTATTAAGCCTAAAGCATCTAAGAAAAGGAATTTCTCCTTTTTACCCATCTATTTTTATCTATATTGCTGTAATTACTTTAAAGCATACTGAATCCCACAAATAACCCTGTCAAACTTTTCTAGATTTTTAAAAAGGCAGAATTTTAAACAATTGCTTGAAAGCTGTTAGATGAGCTGGAAGAAGGAATAGTGTTGGCGTAGTAGTCGCTGCTTTGTTTCTTTTGAACTTTAAATTGCTTTTTCATCCAAAATACAGAAAAACTGAATATCAGGCACAATCTGATATTTATTGGGGGGAGGGGGGGAATGTCTTACCAGTAAGACATTATACCTTCAGATCTCCTGTGAACTGGTGTGTTAGTGGCCTGCATAATGGATAGCTGTTGAATGGATCCCAGTTCATCTTCACACTTCCTTCTTCTCCAGTTAATGTCTTAGTTTATGTGTTGATTTCTGGAGGCACGACCTAGAGCAAGATACATTTGTTATAGGGGAAACACATGACTACTAATATTTTTGTTACCAAGTATTTTTCCATTTTGTAATAAATTATAACCGATACTATGTTTGTTAGAAACAATTTGGAGGCACCAGTGAAGTTGGGAAGAAAGAAAAAGCTGTACTAAGATCCAGCCTGCCTAGCTGGGGTCATCTTTTGCCTGGGCTATGACACAAGCTGCCCACCCCTTTCTGCTGCCTACTCTTCTTCCTGTCACACTCAGCAAATAACACCTTCCTGAAGCATGGACCTAATGGCATCACTCCTTTACGGGAAAATCTTCACCACCTTCCTCTATATATAGGATAAGTGCAGACTTGTCTTAATCTGCAGCCTCACTGCCCCTTCTATTCTGTGCGTAAGAATTATCAGAGGTCTTTTTAAAAGTCAGATTCCACTTCTGTAGGTCTGGGATGGGACCTGAGATTCTGCATTTCTGCCCAGCCCAGCGGCTGCTGGCTCACAAACCACTCTTGGAATAACAAGGCTCAAGGACATGGTTGGCAATCTTTTGCTGTAAAGAGCCAGATAATTAATATTTTAGCCTTCGTGGGTGATATGGTATTGGTTTCTGTCATAACTACTCAGTTGGTCCTTTCAGCAAGAAAACAGAAAGCAGCTAAAGACCAAACACAATCCAGTGGGCAGGGCTATATTCCAATACAAATAAAAGTTTTATTTACCAAAACAAACCAGATTTGGCTCTCAGGCATACTTTGCCAGACCCCTGCTCTTTGTGTCTCTCACTGTGTCTGTGCCTTAGGGTGTTACCTTCTTATGACTGCCTATCTGCACCCTGCCAATCTTACTAGACCCTGAGGCTCAACCCACGTCTCACCTGCTCTCTGAGGCTTCCTCTAACCATAAAGACCTTCTGTCCTTCTCTCACAATTCACCTACTCTTCCCGGTGCATATTACTGATAGCAGGTGCTCAGCAATGTTTCAGGATCTCAGTGATTACAGTAAATGTAGATACTTCATGGGTATGTTGGGAAGATTAAATAATTCAGTATGTGAAAAGCAATGAGAACAGTACCTAGCAATCACTTTTATGTGTTTGCTTTTTAAATTTTTTATTGTTATACCAGTCACATTTTTTCTGTGTTTGTGTTTATCAATATTAACCATCTTAAGCTTATTTACTGGCCAGGAGCAAGCATGAAGGACTTTGGAAGCACCTAATCACAGCCCACGAATGCTTTTTGAAGCAGATCATTATTCAGCAGTTTTACTCATGATTAATAACCCTACTGTAATTGTGGCATTACTTCACGAATTCTGCAGCCTCTTTAGAACTATCTGTGTTCTCTCCTAGCTTATGTCATCTCAGCTGTCGTAGCACCTCCGGCTATTTCAAGTCTTTGATAACTTGCTGTGGTGGCTTTACGCGCTGCCTGGCTGAAGGTGTCCTGCCAGTCCTCTTCCCCCATCACTCTGTCCTGGTCCGTCCATGCTGTCCTTGCTTCTTCACCCGCAAAGCATTGTCTAAAGTGAAATCCTCTTTCCAGAACTCACCTCCAGACTCACCTGTTCTAGCAAGACTGGTCGACCTAGCCTATAATGATCAAAAATAAGAAAGAAATAGGGGCCATATTTTTAAAGAAGGAAAACATTATTTTTCAGTCGAGAATCTTGGGATCAGGCCCAGTTCTGTACTGCAGTAGCTGTATTTCCTTGGATAACTTGTAACTCTCGGGGCTTTGTTTATTTGTTTTGTTATTGTTGTCATTATGGGTTTTCTCTGTAAAACAAGAGGTTGGACTTGGTGATCTTTTAGGCTTCCTTCTAGGTCAAAAATAGAACCCCAAAGCCACCAGTAACCACCCTATGTAAACTAACAAACAAAACACAAATTCGTGTTCACTCATAATTCATTCATTCTCATCTGGGGGTAGTGCCCTGATTGGTGGTGGTTGCAAACAAGATCGGTTCTGAGCAAAGACTGGGTCTGAGAACAGTGGTTCATGACCCTCCAAGGGGCCACAGTACATGAACAAATATGCGATATATCCATGCTATTAAAATTTCGTGGGGGTAGGACAATTAGGGAAAATGTATAAAAAGGCTCTGGGGGAGGACAGGGGAGGGAGAGATGAAAAACAGTTGAGGAACTGCTGCAGCTTACTTAAGGGAGGATGGCCTTTCTGTGTATTCATGGTAACCTATTAAATTAGCCCGTCACTCAGCTTTCAGGGGTCTTGGCAGTGGGGCTCACCCAAGTCAGCTTGTGGGTTTATTGAGCTGATGTGAGGGTGCCAGCCACTGGGGGTAGGGACAGAGTGACAGGTTTGTGATCACTGCTTGGTTGGTTGTTCTCCATTTCTGGCAGTCCTAGAAGGCCCTGATAATAATTATCCAAACTCTGCCTTCCCTACTGAGTTTACATGCTCATCTTGGACAAGAGGTTTATTGTCTCTTGATTAGAAGAGTAGTTACAATTTTGTGAAATATCTATAATTAAACTTTTCCCCTCTAGCTGTCCCCATATTTAACATATTGCCCTAGTTCATAGATTTTAGGTACACATTTTAATATCTCTGAAGTCAGGAGATAACATAACATTTGATGGCATCTTAGACTTGGTGAGATAGAGTAGTTGTCTTATAGTCAGAGAGGAGGAGGTTTTGTTGCCTGAAGAGGAAACTCCTCTAGTTTAAACAAAGGGGAAAATGTGTAGGGGAATTTGGAGCTGTGTGAAAATGGGACTTATCATCAGGCTTT